CACCAGTTGCTAAAAGTTGTCTTTTAAAATTTTGTGTAGACATGAGGATTTGTAAGTGTGGACACTGAGATTTGAAAATTTTTTAATTTTATTAATATTAATTAGCACCAAAAATTTATATTAAAATGATCGACATTTCTCTGATTTATTCACGAATCACCAATATAGAATTTCACTGTTCAAGCAAAATAATTGCAAAAATAATTTTATTCAAGGACTTTGCAGTCAAATTGAAGTCACAAATTTGACTTGCTGTTGAGTCAGGAACAATTAAATAGCAGTTATCATAGTCTGACATTGGAATAAAAGAACAAACAGCATTCTATCCACTGATTAAAATTACTGGATTTGGAAATTAACAAATTTTAAAGAATTTAAATGGCGAATGGTGGTCATAGAGAAGCAAAAAGTTTGATCATAAGAAATTAGAGGGTGATGGTGATACAATCAATATATTATTATCTTATGGCTAGTTTTCATATTCTTTAAAAAAACTATATAATTCATTTTTATGTAAAGAATTTAAAAAATTAATAATGTATAGTAAATTTACACAAAATATAAAAACAGATATCATTTGGCATTAATTATTTTTAAAAAAATTTATTGTAATTATTATTAATATTAATATTATATTATTAATTGAACGTATAATAAAATATATATAATGTATTTAAAAATAAAATAGAAAATTTGTTAATGTATTTTTTTTAAATTAATTAAGTAATTAATTGTATTGTTATTATTATTATAATAATAATAACATAAAATTATTATTGTTTATTACCCATTAGTAAATCTAATTACCATCACACTCAAATTATCCGTACTAAAGTTTTGAAGAGCATGTTCAATTAATTTAGCGCTGGCAACTTGTGGATCCAGGATATCTTTGACTAAATTAACAGCATCTTGATCGTTACATACATCCCATAACTTTTTTTATTAAACAAGGATGAAATAAATATTTACATACATAAAAAACCATTTTTCAAAAATACATCAATAAATTATTTTTTAATTTAAAAACTTACCCCGTCACAAGCTAATATCAAAAATGAATCTGATTCTGTAATATTGGTTTCTGTTGTGTATGGGCTGCCTATTACATATTCTTTCATCGAACTATCGCCCAGCGAACGCGTTACAGCCAATACACCTAAAATTTATATTTATATTTAAATAATCAAATAAATAAATAAAAAAGATTTGTTATTGTGCAATTCGTACAAACCGTTTACACGATTATTCATAACAAATCCACCGGCGTCTACGATTCTTTTTCATCCTTAGTTGACCAAACGTAATCATGTACAAGTTGAACACTGAATGCAGCAACATTAAAACGTTGCGTTGGGGTCTAAATTTAAAAATTCAAAAAAATACGCACACATATATTGTTATAAAATTTTACTCGAGAAATTTAAAAATAAAATGATAATTCCACCTACTAACCCACGATTGACTAAATGTTGGTATATCACTTTTAATTTTTTCTTCCATAATTAAAAATTTGAAAGAAATCAATTTGTAGCAAAGTGAATATGACGAACGCCACAAATCAAAATAATAATAATACCGACGATCTTTTGTTATCCCGAATTTTTCCGAAGTTTTTGTACAAAAGGTTAGTAATACTAAAAGACTTGTCTATTTTCTAATTTTAGTACTATTGCTATATAAAGAGAAGTATATAATACTTTTGCTAAATTTAAAACATTACAAAAAAAATGAAAATTTTAAAAATATAATAATAATAATACGTATCGAAAGGTCCATTTAAATATTGTTATTTCTAGAGCAAGTTTTTGAAATGGATCTTGAATATTTATCCGATATCAATCTCACCAATTAATTCATCGGAAGGATTCTCGGACTCTTTAATACAACTATATTGACGCAAATTTTTTCTTTTCAAAATGCCAAGCAAAATAATTTGGATCAAACATTTGTGCAGCATGAACAAGTGAGTGTGGAGATATGAAGGAATGTGCGCATCGAGTAATTCGAAAGCTTCATGAGAATTGCGACATTTGTTACAAATATAGAAGGATATAAAATTCAATCGACGCGCAGCATACCAAAATATTATGTAACATACTGCGCACCGATTTAATTTTATTATTATTATGATACACTACAAATCCGTGTCCCTGCATCAGCTCAATATGTAAACGGATTAAATATCAATAAGATTTACATAATTTAAGGCATTTTGGTGCTGCCCGTATATTTAATATAAAACTCTACATGTGCACAGTAACAATAGTACGCATATCAAAACGTGTCGTCATTAGATTTCAAATACATTTTTTATAGAAGTGTGGCGTATTCAGGGGTCCTAATTTATATAAAAGCATTAATTCGTCAAACGTTATCCTACATAAAATATTTGACGAACCGTGACACGAATTTTTCCTGTTGCATTTTAATACCATATTGTTTGTGCATGAGAGGAGGATTTTACGTAAACATTTTTAAGATTTATCTTCTCTTTTTCTATAATAATAACAGATAGTAATAAAAATTTTTCCTTTTTTTTTCCATTATTAAAAAATCACATTATTATTATAATAATATTTTTACAAAATTCATACTTAATTTATTAATTTATTTAATAATAAATTTTAATTTTTTTAAAAAAAATTCTCTATAAAGGAAAAAATTTAATTTTAAATAAATAATGTCTGCTGCTTTAACATCTAATGGCGATTCTGAGCAGCTTTTGGCAAATCAAAAGGATAGCTCTGATAAAGATCTAGCAAACGATAATAATACTCACACTAATGCTAATGCTGCTAATAATAATAACAACACTAACAACAATAAAGAAAACAATAATTGCAACAAAAATAAAGAAAACAAAAATAATGTAGAGGCTCGAGACGATTCCAGTGATTGTTCAAGTCCGAATATAAAAAGCCCAACTGAAAGTTCTCCAACTGATAATAAACTAGTATTTACACTTTCACCGACTCCCTTGAGTCCCAAAGATAAAGGAACAAAACAACCATTTAGTTCTTTTCATAGTGATAGCGAGAGTTCTAATATAGGCGATATATTAAACGGATCTTCGTCTTCTTCTTCTGAAACACTGTCAAATAAAAGAACAGGATACCCACATTTTCAAATCGGTGTTAGTGAAGATAGAAATAGAAGATGTAGAAGAACAATGGAGGTATTTTAATTAATTATTATTAATTTTCCTCTCTTTAAATAATGGAAAAAATGCCGCATCATCATCATCACCGCCAGCCTTTTCTTTCACTTTGATTACTATTTTTTTTAATGATAAATTTTTAATCTAAATCAAAAAAAAAAATTAATAATAGTGTAAATATGTGGGTTAAAAGGTGTGATGGAAAAATATTAATATGATGTATATGTAACATATTATTATATCGTATCTATTATTTATAATTATATCACATCATTATCATTGTATCATCCTTTATTTCAAAAAAAAACAAATAATGTTTATGAATAATTAAAAACAAATATATAAAGCAGGGATCCATATTATTATTTCAATTAAATATGATCATATGCTATTCCCTCGCTAATTCTTTCTTATAGGATTCTCATTCATTTTTTTATGATTTTGCGGGAGTTGAGGGTCAAGGATTCTATGCCATATTTGACGGACACGCTGGAAAATCTGCAGCTGAATGGTGTGGAAATCATTTTCACGAGGTAAATCAAATTGCAATTCGTCATCATTATCATTATATAATTATAATAATAATAAAGAGAGAGTGTCAATGGATCAAATATCTGTATACAAACATTTCAAGCTTCTCTTTGCACGGTTTTCTTTCATTTTATATTTTATTGTTGGTTTTTTGTTAAGGCCCATGTTGTAGAATTAATGTAAGGCTGGAAAAATGATTAAATGATAAATGTATTTATTGTTATTGTGTAGTTATTATTATTACTGAACATAAATATTATTAGCATTACTTTAGGAATTAGAAGTTTAGAATTTTTTCTATAATAATCTATTTTGAATAGTTTTATATTTATATTGAATTGTTTAATTAATTATCAATTAATTAATTTTATTTAAACAATGTAACAATTATTATATTTATTAGACGTTTGAAGAAGTCCTAGATAAAAATTCAAACATTCCTATTCCAGAAGTTTTTCATAAAGCTTTTCTGCAGGTAGATAAGCAATTAAATCAAAACACAGCTGGAAAGCATTCAGGATGTACAGCAGTAACCGCTTTTTTGAGAATAGAAGAAGAGGAGGAAGAAAATAAAGGAGAAAAAGAAATAAATGAAGGGAAAATGATAAATGATAGTAAAAATAAAAGTAGTGTCGTTAATGGTAATGAAATAGCTAATGGCGATGTCGGGAAAAAAAAGAAGCAAAAGGTATTATTATTCATTATGTGGATTAGATGACAATTTATATATAAACATTGTGTAACGATGATTAATTTTGAATTTTTGGAATAATTAAATAAATAGCGAGTATTGTATACCGCGAATGTAGGTGATGCACGAGCTGTTTTAAGGTAAATAAAAAAAGTAATAATATAATACCAAGCAGCTAACCACATCAATCAATCAATTGACATTGATATCGATAATGTTTGTGTGAATTAGTCGTAACAACACTGCAATTAGATTATCATACGATCACAAGGGTAGCGATGCTCAAGAAGCAAAAAGAATCGTAGACGCCGGTGGATTTGTTATGAATAATCGTGTAAACGGTTTGTACGAATTGCACAATAACAAATCTTTTTTATTTATTTATTTGATTATTTAAATATAAATATAAATTTTAGGTGTATTGGCTGTAACGCGTTCGCTGGGCGATAGTTCGATGAAAGAATATGTAATAGGCAGCCCATACACAACAGAAACCAATATTACAGAATCAGATTCATTTTTGATATTAGCTTGTGACGGGGTAAGTTTTTAAATTAAAAAATAATTTATTGATGTATTTTTGAAAAATGGTTTTTTATGTATGTAAATATTTATTTCATCCTTGTTTAATAAAAAAAGTTATGGGATGTATGTAACGATCAAGATGCTGTTAATTTAGTCAAAGATATCCTGGATCCACAAGTTGCCAGCGCTAAATTAATTGAACATGCTCTTCAAAACTTTAGTACGGATAATTTGAGTGTGATGGTAATTAGATTTACTAATGGGTAATAAACAATAATAATTTTATGTTATTATTATTATAATAATAATAACAATACAATTAATTACTTAATTAATTTAAAAAAAATACATTAACAAATTTTCTATTTTATTTTTAAATACATTATATATATTTTATTATACGTTCAATTAATAATATAATATTAATATTAATAATAATTACAATAAATTTTTTTAAAAATAATTAATGCCAAATGATATCTGTTTTTATATTTTGTGTAAATTTACTATACATTATTAATTTTTTAAATTCTTTACATAAAAATGAATTATATAGTTTTTTTAAAGAATATGAAAACTAGCCATAAGATAATAATATATTGATTGTATCACCATCACCCTCTAATTTCTTATGATCAAACTTTTTGCTTCTCTATGACCACCATTCGCCATTTAAATTCTTTAAAATTTGTTAATTTCCAAATCCAGTAATTTTAATCAGTGGATAGAATGCTGTTTGTTCTTTTATTCCAATGTCAGACTATGATAACTGCTATTTAATTGTTCCTGACTCAACAGCAAGTCAAATTTGTGACTTCAATTTGACTGCAAAGTCCTTGAATAAAATTATTTTTGCAATTATTTTGCTTGAACAGTGAAATTCTATATTGGTGATTCGTGAATAAATCAGAGAAATGTCGATCATTTTAATATAAATTTTTGGTGCTAATTAATATTAATAAAATTAAAAAATTTTCAAATCTCAGTGTCCACACTTACAAATCCTCATGTCTACACAAAATTTTAAAAGACAACTTTTAGCAACTGGTGAGATTGACAATAATCTTCATTATGGTCATTTTGCTGAAAATTGGTGGTATTTTCTAAATGTAAAAAATAGTCAAAATAAACAAATATGCTTTCCAATACGCATCAACATGAGAATTCAAATTGTGTTAAATGGAAAAGAATTTATCATTAGAGTAGTTCACAACACAAAAGAAAATAATTTAAAGCCTGGTTATATATGCGAATCAGACTTGGATTCAGAAATTTGCTCATCTACAAGTGAAGTGGTAAATGAAACTTGGAAAAGACATTTTAATGAAAACACATGTTTTTCTGGACCAAATATTTTAGGTTTTAATGATGAAGTGATGGCAAAACAATTGCAGGTGGATGTATCTTTTTTTCCTTTTAAAATTGTTGTTAATGATATTACAGTTTTTGTATCATCTATAGGTAGTTCAGATCAGGAAGAGTTGAATTTTGCAGGTCCTGGATATCAATCTTCATTTCATTTTAAATATTCTGGTAATCGATCTTTAATATGCCAATCAATAATTGATACAGCATGTCAAATTGATATATATTTTCGAGGGAAAATAGTTTGCACACATACTGGAAAGACACCAGCTGATGTTTGGAATAAGTTTGATATTTTGAAAAAATATAATGGAAAAGAATTATTTGGCCTTTCTGATCCAACTGTCATACAAGAAATTCAAAATTATATAAATACACCTTACTGCACATCGTCCAATTGGAATAATATTGATAAAATGACATTTGTATTTGAGAAGTGCCTAAAAAGGAAGATAGCAGTTTCCAATTTAAATTGGCATCAATTTTTTATTAAATGGAGACAACAATTAACGAATGTTATAGAATTTACTTCACACCTCACCACCATATATCCTCCAGGTTTTGAAATTACTGATACCATATTGGGAGCATGGAGGAGAATGTTGCAAGGTGTTGGATGCACTAATATAACACCATATAAAAAAAATATATCAAGAGTAAGAAAAAAAAATTTTTTTTTTGCAAAAGATTGTTGGAATCAAGAATAAGAATTTAATTATATAACAAATAATATTTTATTATTATAACTGATAAATATCAATTTTTTGTTCAATTATCACATAAAATAGCTTGAATTTTGGACATGTTCAGAAAATGTAGAAGGGATATCAAGTGATCATGCTTTAATGCTTTATTTATATGAAAATAATTTTATAAATGGTATTCCATACAATCAAGTAGTGAAAGAACTATCAGCAAAAAATGATAAGCTTCAAAAAAAAATTGATAAATTTTGGGATGTTTCAATTAAAATGAATAATCGTGGGTTGGATGGGAAACAAAAAATTTTATCAGTGATTGCTGATAATTTTTTGTATCGTGAATTGCAAGATAACTTGAAGGTAGTATTTATGACTATATATAATTCATGTTTGCACAGAATTATTAACCTTATGCTGCAAAAATTTTTTTAGATTTCAAACGATCTAATAAATGCTGCAAGAATATATTCATGAGTTAATGGCCCTGGTTGTGTTGCAAATGAAAGACCCATAGTTTCTCGAAGTAGGATATCAGAAATCAAAAGTCAAGAACTTGAGGCTTTTTTTATGGATAAAGACAATGTAACAATGAGTTCTTACAAAGTTGATTCAAAGACAAACCTTCCAATTCTTTATTTGAAGGATAATAAAGAACAACTCTGGAAAAAATTTGAGGCTATCTATTCTGATGGAGTTAAACAAACATCATTTATGGCACATTTGGCAAGTGGCCCATATGTGTATTGAAAGGATTTGGGTGGACTTTGTGACATTTGCAATGAATATTTTTATGAAGTTTTTAATGTGTTGAATAGCTTAATTCAATTAAACATTGTTGATAAAGAAGAAAGGGTAACTTAATATAAAATAAATATGTATACAGTCAACTCTCCATAAGTGCACCCTCCATAAGTGCACCCTCTCCGTAAGTGCACCCTATGTCCCAGTCCCAAGCTCGGGACTTAGAGATAAATGCACCCTCTCTATGTTCTGCACTGCACAGTCTTTTCCTGGTCCCGTTCATATAAAACCACCCTCTCTAAGTGCACTCCCGTGACTTTCACGTGACTGCGCCGCAATATGAAATCATTATTTATTTATTAGTGAGGAAAACATTAGTGTCATTTTTTAATGAATTTATTCCTAAAGTGGAGAAAGTAAGCCATTGACCTTTTTAAAATTTTAGCATTGATTTTTAATTTAGTAATTCCATGTACAATGATGTTTTAAAACATTGTAAAATAATAATTCAGGTAACAAGAAAATAAAGAATTCTTTCTTTCTTTATTATAACAAATGATTAATTCTTTCTTTTTAATAGATGTAAATAATTATTAGAATAACAGAATAACAAACGGGATAAGAGAATAAGAGAATAAGAGAATAAGAGAATAAGAATCCAGGTGACAAAGCTCTTATGTTTTATATAGTTGGAATTATTAAATATAAAAAGGTAAAAGAAAAGTCATAACAGATAAAATTAAGAATTTTAATAATTAAATCGAATTACACTTATTACTTTAAAAAAGAAAAATATCCAGTTATTATATATCAATCTTTGTTTACTGTAATTGTTTTATATCATTAAGTCATTCGTATTCTTTTATAACTTCCAAATAAAAAAATGTCTTCAAGTAAAATAACTTTATCTGATACCCAAAAATATGAATTTTGCTTATTTGCTGCAAATAATAAATTGACCAGAAAAGAATATGTTGGATGGATTGAACAAAAATGGGGAGTTACAGTTCATGAATCAACAATAACCAGAATTATTCAAAAAAGTAAAGAAATACTTAGCACTGAAATTAGCAATCCAGAAGCAAAAAGACATAAATCTGTGATTGTCCCCGAACTTGAATTGGCTCTTAAGGAATTTGTCTTAGTTTATCAACACAAAGCAATCTTGAGTGATGCTATTTTAGTTGAAAAGGCTAAGCAAATAGCAACTGGGTTAGGAATTCCTGAAGGGACATTGAAATTTTCTACTGGATGGCTTGTAAAATTTAAAAATCGTAATGGAATTCATCAAATAAAACTTCATGGAGAGGCATCATCAGCTGATCTAGCTGCCATTAGTGATGCTTTACCATTATTGAGAGGTAAATGTGGAAATTATCCTGCTGAAAGAATATATAATATGGACGAAACAGGTCTTTTCTATAGGTAATTAATATTTTAATACCAATCTTTGATTATCTGTATTTAAATTGAATAGAATTTGATCTTATTTTTTATTCTTTACAGATTAGAACCAGATAGAACATTAGCTACAAATAGACTTTCTGGTCGTAAAAAGAATAAAGAAAGACTTTCAATTGCTTTGTGTACAAATGCTGATGGATCACACAAGTTGAATCCATTAATAATTGGAAAATTTGGAAAGCCAAGGTGTTTTAAAAATATTAACATAAACAACTTACCAATGACATATCGTTATAATACTAAGGCATGGATGCTGTCTACTGTTTTTCAAGACTGGCTTCAAGAGTTTAACAGGGAGGTTGCTCAAAAATATAATCAGCGGGTATTATTGCTCCTTGATAATTGTCCAAGCCATAAGATTGATGGTTTGGTTCTTTCTCATGTTGATGTTCATTTTCTTCCTCCAAACACCACATCAAAAATTCAGCCAATGGATGCAGGAATTATTATGTCTTTTAAAAAACATTATCGTCATTTACATATTAAATGGATTCTAAATCAAGTTGAAGATGGAAATGATATAAAAGATTTAAAAATGGATGTATTGCAGGCAATACAATACATTATTAAAAGTTGGGAAGAAATCACACCTGAAACCATTCGTAACTGCTGGCAACATACCAAAATCCTCCCAGCTGCCATTGATACTGCTAGCAATGTTGGAGAAACTAATATTCCTACATTAGAAGAACTTTCGGATTCAATTGGAGCACTTAACCTATCTAATGCTATGCAAATTGATGAATTTTTAAATAATCCAGAAGAAGGAATGGTTTATGAGGTTCCTGATAATGATGATAAAATTATTGAGGGTCTTGTAGAAATATTTAAAAAACAGCTAGAAGTGCCTATTGAGGATATCGAAGATGATAAAGATGATAGTATTGAACCAGTGGTAATAAGTGCCAGCGAAGCTTCAAAAAGTTTAAAAACTGTTTATGCATTTCTACTACAAGAAGAAAATTCTAGTGAACAATTAAAAATGGCTAATGCTCTTGATAAATTTATTAATCTAAAAAAAATAAATAGAATGAAACAAACTACAATGTATGATTTTATCAATCAATAAATAATTTTATAAATAAAAAATTTTTTTAATTTTTCATTAGTGTCACGTGCAACCAATAAAATACTTTTGTTCTATAAGTGCACTTCTCCATAAGTGCACGGTCTTGCCTGGTCCCAAGGGGGGTGCACTTATGGAGGGTTGACTGTACACTTAAGAAATTGAGACTAAGTAAATTTCGTGTAACAACTTTTTTTTCATAGAATATTTTCTACAAGATACATTTGATTTATTTGACATATTTATTTCCTTTTTTTTATTAATAAATAAAAGTTCTTTACAACAAAAAAGTTTAACGAATATATTACATTAAAAGAAAACATTACCAAATTTGGTCGTGAGATTTAAAATATTGTAACATGAAAATTATTGTTGCACTTCTGAGCATAACTTCAAGACAAATTTTTTTTTTAGATTAATAGACTACCTTTTTAAAGCTGAATTGAATAGTGGTGGGTTTTTTAAAATCCAATGTATGGATCACATAATATTTCAAAAATTTAACTCTTGAGTATAGATGATCTGCACTGTAGATTATCTAGAATATGTATGCATAATTTTGTGATTTTGGCTAGCATAATTAAATAAAATTAAAAATTAGTAAATAAAATCACATTTATAAAAATCAAAATTTTTAAAAATATAAAAATGCCAAAAAACAAAGAGGAAAAATTTTGAGCCTTCATAAAAGTACCTAATTGGTCTTCACAATCTTAATCCAATTGAACATCTTTGGAGTGAACTAGGGAGCAATTAGATAAGCAAACACATTACCCAAAAAATGCCAATGAATTGAAGCTGCTTTACAAGAAGTGTGGTCAAGAACTCCATATAGAAAGCATATCTAGAAGGACTGAGGCATGCATTTCTAGTGATGGATGGCCAACTTGATATTAATATGGTTGGCTTGATCTAAAGACCTCCTATTGCTGTGCCATGACACCAATTTTGAGAAAAAATATTCCAATCAAAAATGCAATAAAAAATTTTAGTCACATGTTTTTTGAAGATTGTCAAGGACAGAATTATATCCAAATATATAACTGGTTCAGTCTAAAGACCTCCTAAAAATAGTTGGATGCGAAACATCCTAGCATCTTTTGTACAATGATGTAGTTTTTCATAAAATAAACTATTTCATGGCCAAAAAACATATACATAAATAGACCAAAAAATAAACCAACTTAATTTTAATGTCAACATGATGCTAAAATAGATAAATTTTTGTTCTTGTGTAGCATGGCATGCATGATTGCGTAATACATAAAAAAGCAACGCGTTCTCAGTTGTAAAATTTCATCATTGTCATCATCACGTGATAAAGATCAGCCATTAAAAAATTCAAAATTTTCAATTCTTCCAATTCGTTCATTTTTAATATAATTTTTTCCATGTAACACACCATCTGGGGGGTTAACATAGTAAATTCTTGAACTTTGATGTATCGTTCTTCTATATGGTAATGTTACATATCAAAGAAATAAAATCATTGGATTGTAGGGAAAGGTCTTAGCTTTAATTCTATGATTTGTTTTTTTGGTCATACATTTCCATTTTTGGAGGAGATCAAGGATCTACACAGCCAATAAAAAGTTCAGCAACTAAGTGACTTGCAATATATAAGAAATTTGGATATGCACAATTCAATCTTTCGACTTAATTTTTTTTTACATAATAATAATTAATGCAATAGTAAGTTCTAATTTCCAAGTTTTAAATATTTTTTTTAGAATTCGTTTATAGAAAAGTATTAATTTTTTTTTATAATATATGAATTAGAAAGTTGTATCAAGCAAATTTATTAACTTGGTGATATTTATTTAATATTTTCAAACAAAAATGAATTTGTATAATGGACTTCTTTTTTATTAACAAAATGTCAGTTAACTTAAAGAAAGATTTGTTGATTTTTGATTAAAGTTTCATTAATGATTATTAATTGATGATCCATCTATGAATCAGAGAAATGTCAATCAATTTATTATGGAAATGCGGGGGAAATTTCATATTAAATGATTGGCAAAAAAAATCAAAAAATCGAATATTTTGAGTAAAAAATAAAAAAAAAACTATAGTATATATTAATTATTGCATTCATAGTTTTTTTTATTTAATAATAAACTCAAAAATAATAATAGGACTTGTCTTCCATTGTATTCGATCTCCCATCTAGGAGCATGTTACTAGATTGTTTGTTAACAACCATGCGAATACACTACCCAACAAGTCCTGTTTAACAAAGGTAATATTATTCTATAAACATAAAAAAAAATTGTTTTCGTTTTTCCTCTGCTTTTCAAACTTTTGATAATGAATATCAAAACCTTGCATTTAACCATATATCACAACAACAACAAAAAATTCCAAACAGTAATCACTGATCCTCATGATACATTTGAAACTTTATTGACCAGTATAGAAGAATTTATGGATTTCAAAGATGATGTTATTGGATGTTACTTAAAACTTGGGAATAGATGGAGTGAAGTGTCCTTAAATGATTCCACATTCATGGCATTCGCACCAGAAATAAAACATGTCAAATATATATTAACAACAAGTAAATACTATTTTTTATTAAATAAATTTTTTATTAAATATATATTTATTCAAAAATTAAATTGCAAATTTTATAAAAAGATGACAATAATGATGATGATAAAGATGAAGATGATGGTGACAATAAAGATGTAGACAATAGCAACAATAACGACAATAATAGCATGGAAATACAATAATATATATATTTATATATATCAATTTTTTTTTAATTAAAAAATACATTTTTGACTATGTCATGACTTTTGGTAATGGATGGAATTTCGAATAGTCTTAAACATTTCAAATAGTCATAAACATTTCAAATAATCATAAACATTTCGTATCACTTTTATTTTTTTATTAGAACGTCTAAAGCATTTTCTTTATTTATAAAAATTAATAAATGTTACACGGAAAAATCAGATTTTTTCAATACAAAAACTCAAAAAATCAACATATCATAAACAGAAAACTTTTTTCTTTACATAATTAATAGCAATAAAAAATACATAAATATGTTCTCTGAGATTTATTTTATTTGTATGCACAAAAAAAATTTATCTTGCAAGACAAAAGTATAGTAACTTTTTTTTATAAAAGGTTACCGATTAGTGTTTTTTTGGTCAATTTTCCTCCGCCGATCACTATATAACACTCACCGATTCATAGACGGATCGTCAATTAACTGCTTTGCCTTTTATTTTTAATTAATGAAATTTGGGTGAAAATTTATTTAAATCTATAGTGCAGATCATCTATACTCAAAAGTTAAAATTTTTGAAATATTATGTGATCCACACATTGGATTGTAAAGAACTCACCACCATTCAATTCAGCTTTAAAGTGGAGTCTATTAATCTAAAAAAAAAATTTGTCTCAAATTTTTTTCATAATTTTTGAAAGTTATGCAATAATTTTCGTGTTACAATATTTTTGAATCTCACGACCAAATTTGGTAATGATTTTCTTTAACAAAAAAAGAAAAAAATCAAATTTACTTAGTTTCAATTTCTTGAGTGTATAACAAAATGCTAAGGCCCAGCCGATTTCCGGTTTAAGAAAAAACCAGCCGATAAGTTTTGAAGCCTGAATAATAAAAACTTATCGGTGAATTTTTTAAAAATGATATTAATATAAATTTTTTCACCTTGCTCTTTCTTCAAAATACTTCTGATAGTACTATAATTCTTGGGTTCCATAGTAGATCTGATATAAATTAGCTTCATATTAACTATTTTTATCTAGAGGTAATTCTATATATCACCTAATATTAAGAGGAACAAATAGGAGATTTTAATAACCACATTACAAATTTTGATCCCTGAAATTTTTGGTAATACCAATGTTCACTTTGTCTGGTTTTGTTACAGTATACCCCATTTTTAATCATTGCCTTTATTTGAATTGCTTGTTTATACAATAAAATTTATATGTAATTTTTTAAATAAAAATAAACAAATAATAAATAAATTTTTATAAATAGAATATACATATAGAAACAAATTATGAATTTAATGCATTTAGAATAATGGGATCTTCATCCAATTCTTTACAATCAGTAAAAAGTGAAAATAATCCTTTAGGCAATCCTTGATTCAACTTTTCAATTCTTTCATGGAACATTTCTAAAGGTGTCTTAAGTATTTCAGGTGAAGGTGATTCAGTTTTTGTGGGGGAAGTTGCACTTGTTGATGGCAATTTAACCTCTGATGGAGGTTTAGGCATTGTAGATTTAGATGTATCTGGAGTTGAAGTTTTGAGTAGATTTGAAAGTCCTCCTTGAAGTCTCTCAGCAATGTTACTTGTCATTCCTGGACTTAATAAATCTCCTTCTTCTTGTTTTGAACTACTATTATCACTATTATCAGAATTTTGTGGTGTAACATTATTTTCTAGTTTTTTATCATCTTCTTCCATGTAATAATCACGAAGTTTGCTATAAATTCCTGTAAAAGTTTTAGCATAAGAATGTTTTGGTTTTTGTGGTGGAAGACCTTTTACACGTGAGGTTGTTACGTCACGAACAAATATTCGAATAATTCGATCAGGATGTTCTTTTGCAATTGTAACATAACTAATATTTAAGAAAACAAACTATTGATATATTTATAAATATATAAATAAATAAATAATAATAAAAAATATCAATTTACATTTCTGGATCAAGTTCACCAGTGTCACCAATAAGAATAAATTTGCGTTTTGGAAAATCCTATAATATAAATATCAAAGCTTTTTACAAATTAATATCATTTTTTTTTTCTTTAAAAATATTAGGCAAATATATAAATATTACTAGCTGACTAACCTTTAATAATTCTCTTATGTACATGAATTTACTTGCCATTGGATTTTCTTTTTGTTCTACTGCACTTTTTATCAACCCATCATAGAATTTAAGATGAGCAGATCCAGGTGGGAAATTATAAGTGTTGAAAAAGGAACGTAATGCTGGGAATAATTGCCAAGGTGAATTGGATACATAATGAATGCCAACTCCTCTATCATACTTTTTGTTTGTTATACAAAAAAATAATTTTTAATTCTTTTAAAAAAAAAAACTAAACAATCCATAATTTATTTACATACCCATTTACAATAAAGTTCAGCCATTCCAGGAACCTTTTTTTTAATATAAATTGTGTTATTATTGAATGAAAATAAAATAAAAATAAATAGACTGAACTTTAAAAAAGGACCCACATCTTTAAATGGTCGTATAAATGTATTGGAAAGTATCACTTTCACACCATCCAAAATCTCTGTATCTTTAATGGTATCATCAATATCCTAAAAAAATAAAATTAATTGAATAATCAAATAATTAAAATAATGAATAAATTTTTGATTGTTAGAGATAATTACTGAAATAACAGAAACTCCTTCTGGTTCAATAAGATTAACAACACCAAAAGCAGGCATAACTAAATTTTCAATGTAATAAATAAAATTAATTAATTAATTACCACCATTTGCATGCAAAGAGCTTTATATATATATATAAAATTAAATTACCAATTTTATCTTGAAATGCTTGCATCTTAAGTAATTTAATTTTCCTACTGCCAGTTTCTCGCGTCAAGTTATCACCACTAGATAGCTTCAAATGACCTTTAACCATCCACTCTTCAACATCTTTCTCTGGGACAGAAAGAATATCCGAAAAATGTCCAGATTTAGGAGTAATTTTAGCACTTAATATTTCACCTGCAGTAGCAAGTTTATCAGCAAATTTCTCCAATGGATTTCTGTCTTCATTTTCCTGACTTTCAAGGCGCAAGTCATTTGGATCACCTTCAAGTGTCATTTTATTTGAATCTGTTATATCAATAACTTGAACTGTGTAATCTCCTTGGCTCATATTGCTACTCCAAAAATATTCAGTGCGATCTTTTAAAGATTCATAACTCAAATCTGTTTTTGATATTCCAACAACCCTTGAAGTTATATCTATAATAATATTTTTAATTAAATTAGTTACATAGATAATTTTTGGATAAATTATGATTTTTGACTTACCCAAAAAAATACTGTGCATTCTGCTTGATTTGGGAATTGAAAATGCCCAACCACGAACTCTAATATGCCATTTATCAGTAATCATTGTAGTGCCTTTTCATGTATATATAAATATATAAGTTTTTCCATATGTTAAGAATTATGAATATTTTATCAAATATTATTTATATATGCATTAATTAACACTGCTTACCATTAACAGTATCATGTTTTGTTGCATATGTAGGAAACAGCAAACAATTTTGTAGAACCTCTTCTTTCTCCTCTTCTTTCTCCTCTTCTTTCTCCTCTTTCACTTCTAAAGGAGCAGCTTTAATATCAAGGTTGGCTATATGACCTGGGTCAATGGCATCATTATTATTAGTTGACATCTTTTTTTGATTTTTTAGATATTTTTTTTTAGGTAGATGATATATATATTAAAATATATACTATTTTAGATAATTTATAGATTTATAACGATTATCTAATTATGGTGCAAATCATCTAAAGACATCACGTGCTGCACCACTTGCCGAGAAATTTTGCCAAGAGATAATAATAAACCCCAATCTGTGACTTTATCACGTGAATAGTTATTTATAGTTGCCGGAATTTCAAATAACATAGTAATAGTAATAGTAATAGCAGTCGAACAATCGATTGGGAAATGTATTTTTCCTGAAATTTTTTGGTGATCAACGTCGAAATTCTATTAATAAAATTAGTCACAAACCTTAACTTTAACTCTTTTTTTCTCAGCAATCTCCGCCAAATTCGACACGCATATTTTTCAGGACTTATTCCTTCTTTTAGAAAAAAATTAGGGGAGGTTATTAATAAAATACGGTGCAGATCATCTATAATCATTAATTGCTTATAGTAACAATTGGTCAACTTCAAAATACTAAAACAAAAAAA